TATGTTTGTTCATATCTTTCACTCTCAGTTTTTCTTGAAACCAAGTTGAGATACACGATTTATTTAGTCATTAATTACAAATTAAGTAGTAGTTAGTCAATAAAAAGTAGTATCTTTGGCAAGTCAACTCTACTGAATTGGCGAAGAAACAGTAACACAAACTGATACCAAGCCCAAATACACGGAAAAACGGAAGTGATTAAGATAAAATGCGACTTGCTGATATGAAATAAGATGTTCAAGGAAAATATGGTTCGATCGGTTCATTTCGTTTGAAACAGAAATGACTGCGAGAATCATAGCAGCGCCAGATTGACCCGTTGGGACGGGGGCATCCTGGGGCGATCGTGACGCGGGGACATTTACAATTCAATTTACCCCGTCATTATTCGTATTTGAAGTTTGCTTAGGAACGAAAAACAAAAAATTATTTCTACTTGAGAAGAGATACCAAATAACATTTGATTTGTAGAGTAAGGGTACCCCCGTATAAGATGGTAAGAAGTTTCCTTAAAGCAAATGACAGAAAAGTAGTAACACTATAACTAACATAAAAGTAATATTTCTTAAAAGGTTTCTTTGCCCCCATCTCACCACCCTCATTCCTCTACACCCGAAAACTTGTGTTTTTATTTTAATTTGTTGTCAACGTAACACAGCTTTACCTGATTGAAACAAATATCAAAAATAACAAAATGATTCATACAACCAGAAAAATGTTTTCTGACAATGTGTACATATTTCGTCGCAGCCGCCTAATAGCTGATACGATCTTTTGGTGACGCTCCGAACTAACATGAAGCAGTTGACAATCGACGTCAACGAACTTTGTACGAAATAAATATTTGGTCAACTGGAAAGGAATTTGCGCTTTTTTTTATTATTTGTTTGTTTTTTTTAGCAAAATTAGACTATCACCTGAGCGGGAAGTTGCAAATGTATGATCTTTTCTTCTGAAATGCCTTCAAAGAATAGCGAAATTGAGCTATTTGAAGCGTGGTGTCAAATTTGAACTAATTTGGCGCTCAATGGGCCCACATAATTCCCGCTCCCGAAAGGAATTGAACCGGGCAAAGAGGTGTGGGGCCAGGACGCCGAAAACCCGACTGTCACTTTCTGTAGGCAGCGAATTGTGCCATTCAGCTTCGATATGTCGGCTTTGAAAATGTTTGACCAAGTCGCCAGGCGCTGGGTGTTAATACAGTTGTCGGCCATGATTCCAATGAATAATTGTGCGAGCGCATAAGGCCGGAACTGGACCGTCAAAAAAATGACTTGAAGAGAGATTTGAATGCGTTTGTGTGAAATCGAATGATTATTTACTTGCATTTATAGGCGAGATTGGATAGGTTTATAGAGATGATATATAGGGAATCGAGTTTCAATGCCCCGTGGGTAAAATAAGGAATTAACTGAGTACCGGGCGTAGCCTTGGCAATTCGAAAGGGAGAAAAAGCAGTAAACAGACTAAGCAACAAACACGATCGTTATGCATGCCATGTATACCATTTCCGACCGTTGCCGTCCCGTCAATACGACAGTGAGATTCAAAAAGGAAATGGAGATAATATACGAAAAGCAATGAGTGAATATATAATTACCACCGCTTGTATCACTGAGCGAATTCGTGACTCTAAAATTCAAAACAAAACAAAAATTGTTGGGCGCTGTGAACCTCCAATGCGGTGGGAAAAAATTAAAATTGAAAATAAATAAAATAAATTTATTGGTCGATGCCTGAATGCACCTTAAACAAAAACATGTCGAATTTCTAAGCCAGTTATGTCAACAGTACCAATGAAGAGTCAAAAAAAGGAACGTACCCAGTACCTATAACACTGTTAATCAATGCAGTTTAGTGCATCAGATTTATTTATAAATATCAACTGTATATACTAACTAGTTTGCGCGATCACCTTCTTCTCGTAGCCGGGCAGGATGCTGCAAACATTTTCAAACGACGGGTGTTTTGTTAGAATGGCAATTACGAAGAGGAGTCGCGCAATAGGGCTGTCAAATAAAATAAATAAATTTTGAAGCGTACCATTCTTCTGTCAGTGCACGGTTTGTGTCCTTTCGTAACGCATCCAAATTTTGAGGATAGGCTTTCCTGTGAGATCAGATATGACAATACGATGAAACTTTCTGTGCCTGTTGATCTCATGTAATTGTGTGTGTGCGTGCGTAGATAAGCGAGATGATTACAATTAAATATTCTGTCGTCATCACTCTTGCTCCACAGGACATGGTGTCTAGAGCATGTTATTTTGAAAGGTTGCCCAATTCTGACGTTTTCCGGTCTGGATATTTAAGAATCCTACCAGCAGAGAACGATAAGCCTAAGAAATACAAATCAGAGCAAACAAGATCTAATAAAAATCAAAAAGTTGTCCGATTTTTCTTTCGATCACATGTGCTAATCCTACCCGCGATAGAAACATACACTACTTCAATGTGTAATAATTCCCTTCCCTTCCTTAGAGGGAATGAGGGATTGTAATTTAATTTTTCCCTGTCTTTCTAATAAATCGTGGGATGCGAGAAGAAGGTGCTATTGCATGTATTATTACAAAGAGAAATATTCTTCATATGGTTCAGATAACATTATATTAAATTAATGACCTACATTACACAGCCAATGTGAGGCTCGCCCAGCATAAGAAGAAAACAAATAAACAAACAAACTACTACTACTATGAACATTGCATGTTACGGAGTCAACGTCCACTCCGCTAGTCGGGGATCCT